CCCAAGGTGTCCCCAAGGTGTCCCCAGGGTGTCCCCAGGGTGTCCCTCACCTGCAGGGACTCCTGGAAGGACGAGGCCTGGTACTGGGCGTACTTGGCGATGGTGGTGTGCGAGCGGCTGCTCTCGCAGGGCCACACCTGGTGTGTCCCCTGTGTCACCTGTGTGTCACCTGTGTGTCCCCTGTGTCACCTGTGTGTCCCCTGTGTCACCTGTGTGTCACCTGTGTGTCCCCATGTCCCCAGGGTGTCCCCAAGGTGTCCCCAAGGTGTCCCCAAGGTGTCCCCAAGGTGTCCCTCACCTGCAGGGATCCCTGGAAGGAGCACACCTGGTACCGGGGGTGTGGCCGATGTCCCTGGTGTGTGTCACCTGTGTGTCCCCATGTCCCGTGGGTGTCCCCAAGGTGTCCCCAAGGTGTCCCCAGGGTGTCCCCAGGGTGTCCCTCACCTGCAGGGACTCCTGGAAGGACGAGGCCTGGTACTGGGCGTACTTGGCGATGGTGGTGTGCGAGCGGCTGCTCTCGCAGGGCCACACCTGGTGTGTCCCCTGTGTCACCTGTGTGTCACCTGTGTGTCCCCTGTGTCACCTGTGTGTCCCCTGTGTCACCTGTGTGTCACCTGTGTGTCCCCATGTCCCCAGGGTGTCCCCAAGGTGTCCCCAAGGTGTCCCCAAGGTGTCCCCAAGGTGTCCCTCACCTGCAGGGACCCCTGGAAGGAGCACACCTGGTACCGGGGGTGTGGCCGATGTCCCTGGTGTGTGTCACCTGTGTGTCCCCATGTCCCGTGGCTGTCCCCAGGGTGTCCCCAAGGTGTCCCCAAGGTGTCCCCAAGGTGTCCCCAGCTGTCCCCAAGGTGTCCCCAGGCTCACCTCTGATGTCCCCAGGTGTCCCCAAGGTGTCCCCAGGTGTCCCCCAGGTGTCCCCAGGTGTCCCCAGGCTCACCTCTGATGTCCCCAGGTGTCCCCAGGTGTCCCCAAGCTCACCTCTGATGTCCCCAGGTGTCCCCAGGTGTCCCCAAGGTGTCCCCAAGGTGTCCCCAAGGTGTCCCCAGGTGTCCCCAAGGTGTCCCCAAGGTGTCCCCAGGCTCACCTCTGATGTCCCCAAATGTCCCCAGGTGTCCCCAAGGTGTCCCCAGGCTCACCTCTGATGTCCCCAGGTGTCCCCAAGGTATCCCCAGGTGTCCCCAGGAAGTCGAACTCCCCCAGGGCGTCCTCGGAGTCTTCCTCGTCCTCGTCCTCGTCCTCGTCCTCATCTTCCTCCTCCTCCTCCTCCTCCTCCTCGGGGACCTTGGGGACACCCTGGGGACAGCAGGGGACAGAGGCGGGCTGGGGACAGCGAGATGGCACCGGGGGAGGGGGAAATGGGGGAAAATGGGGGAAAATGGGGAAAAAATGGGATAAAAAATGGGGAAAAAATGAGGAAAAAGGGAAAAATGGGGAAAAATGGGAAAAAAAGGGAGAAAAAAGGGTAAAAAAATGGGAAAAAATGGGGGAAAAATGGGAAAAAAGGGAAAAAAATGGGGAAAAAAAAGGGGAGAAAAAATGGGGGGAAAAATGGGAAAAATGGGAAAAAAAAGGGGAAAAAATGGGATAAAAAATGGGGGAAAAATGGGAAAAAAATGGGAAAAAAATGAGAAAAAAAAAGGGAAAAAATGGGAAAAAAGGGAAAAAATGGGAAAAAAAGGGGAAAAAAATGGGGAAAAATGGGGAAAAAATGGAAAAAAAGGGAAAAAAATGGGGGAAAAATGGGAAAAAAGGGATAAAAAAGGAAAAAAAAAGGGAGAAAAAAGGGGAAAAAAATGGGAAAAAAATAGGAAAAAATGGGAAAAAATGGGGGAAAAAAGGGGAAAAAATGGGGGAAAAATGGGAAAAAATGGGGAAAAAAAGGGAAAAAAGGGATAAAAAAGGAAAAAAAAAGGGAGAAAAAAGGGGGGAAAAAATGGGGAAAAAAATGGGATAAAAAATGAGGAAAAAGGGGAAAAAGGGAAAAAATGGGAAAAAAAGGGAAAAAAAAGAGGGAAAAAATGAAAAAAAAAGGGTGAAAAAAGGGGAAAAAAATGGGAAAAAATGGGGGAAAAAAGGAAAAAAATGGGGGAAAAAATGGGGAAAAAATGGGAAAAAAGGGATAAAAAAGTAAAAAAAAGGGAGAAAAAATGGGGGAAAATGGGAAAAAAAAGGGGAAAAATGAGGAAAAAAATGGGGAAAAATGGGGGAAAAAATGGGGAAAAAGGGGGGAAAAAAAGGGATAGAAATGGGAAAAAAAGGGAAAAAAGGGGGAAAAAAAAGGGGAAAAAATGGGAAAAAAAGGGATAAAAAAGGGAAAAAAAAGGGAGAAAAAATGGGGGAAAAATGGGAAAAATAGGAAAAGAAATGGGAAAAAAATGGGAGAAAAAAGGGGAAAAAATGGGGGAAAAATGGGAAAAAAAGGGAAAAAAATAGGAGAAAAATGGGAGAAAAAAGGGGAAAAAAAGGGAGTAAAAATGGGAAAAAAGGGAAAAAAATGGGAGTAAAAATGGGAAAAAATGGAGAAAAAATGGGAGAAAAATGAGAGAAAAAAGGGAAAAAAGGGAGAAAAATGGGGAAAAAATGAGAAAAAAGAGGAAAAAAAGGGGGAAAAAGGGAGAAAAAAAGATAAAAAGGGAGAAAAAAAGATAAAAAGGGAGAAAAAAGATAAAAAGGGAGAAAAAAAGATAAAAAGGGAGAAAAATGAGAAAAAAGAGGGGAAAAAAGGGACAAAAAAATAACAAAAAAGGGACAAAAAGGGACAAAAAAGAGACAGAAAAGGACAAAAAAAACCCAAAAAATTCTTTAAAAATTCCCCCAAATTTTGGGAATTCTGACCTTTGCCCTCCTGTGGATTTGGGGGGGTCCTGGGGT